GCGTGCGTGTGTGCGTGCGTGTGTGTGTGTGTGTGTGTGTGTGTGTGTGTGTGTAAAGATGAAGAAGTGGACCGCCATGACGCAGAGTCTCAGCGCCCTAAGTGGAGCGCTACCAGTCAACTCTGACAACAAGGAGCTGCTCGAGTCAGAGTAAGACTATTTATGTGTGTGTGTGTGTGTGTGTGCGCGCGTGTGTGCGTGTGTGTGCGTGTGTGTGTGTGTGTTGCCGGAAAGCTAGTTGCTCGCATGGTTGCCAATCGTCGGCAGGTTCTCGGAGAAAGGTGCTTGCCTGACTCGCAGTGTGGTTTCCGCAGGGGCCGTGGTTGTTCGGATATGGTGTTTGCTGTGCGGCAGATCCTGGAAAAGTTGCACGAACATGCCACGAAAGGTTTCGCTGTATTTATCGATCTGAAGAAAGCGTACGACTCGGTTCCGCGGAGTGCTATGTGGAGAGTGTTGGCTAGACTTGGCGTCCCAGGGAATCTGATCACCATCATCAGTTCCTTCCATAGCGACATGACTGCCAGTATTCGTGTGGGTGGAGACCTGCTTGCACCGATTCGGGTTGAGAATGGCTTGCACTATGGCCCCCGTTTTGTTTAACCTATACATGTGTGCAGTCTTCGAGAGATGGCGTGGCGTGATTGCTGATGATGGTGAGCTGGGGATCCCACTCGTCCAGTTTCGGAGGGAGCGGCTTTTCAACACCAGATTGGCAGAGTATCGCAGAGTTCGGCTGACGGAGTGTCAGTTTGCGGATGATTCAGCCCTGCTCGCAGTTACGCATGTTGGTGCTGAGAGGGCTCTATCCTCGTTCAGGGATGTAGCTGGTGCGTTTGGCCTTAGTGTCAATATGTCCAAGACCAAATTCATGGCGGCTTGGGCTGGTATTGTGGATGCCGACCAGACCCCTTTGGATGGTGTTGTTGACCACGTTGAGGCCTTTCGCTATCTCGGTTGTCATGTTACGCCAGACGCCCGGAGCTCATTTGATGTGTCTCGGCGAGTTGCTGCTGCATCGGGTGCGTTCTGTACACTGCGGGAGTCGGTTTTCGACAGTGATGACTTTAGCATCGCCATCAAGCGCGTTGTGTATGGAGTGACTGTCCTGGCGGTCCTTCTTTATGGATCTGAGAGTTGGACCGTCAGGCGGCGTGATGTCCGTCGCCTGGAGTCCTTTCACCTGCAGTGCGTGCGTTCCATCCTGAAGATAAATCGTGGCCGGCAGATCGAGGAGCACATCTCCTCTCTCCAGGTTCGCAGGATGTGGGGCGATATGGAGGAGATCGCGGATAAAGTCAGAGTCCGCCGACTTCGATGGCTTGGCCACGTGTCCCGCATGCCAGATCGGATCCCTCGTCAGCTGCTGTACGGCGCGTTACCCTCCAAACGTCCACTGCATGGACACCATAAGCGCTGGAAGGACTACGCGAAGTGCGACTTGATGGCTGTTGGCGTTCCTCTGGAGCAGCTTGGTGACATCGTCCAAGATCGACATGGATGGCGGGTCACCTGCCGTGATGCTGTCGACGCTATTGTCCAGTCCCGCATGGAGCCTGTGGCGAAGCCCCTCATCTGTGGCACTTGTGCGCGCAGTTTTCGTCGGCCGCAGGATATTGCGAGGCACACGTGTAACGCTGTTCGCGCGGCCCGCGCGCTGAGTATGGCGTTCCCTGCCCGGTGGACAACATGTCTCCTGGTCTGCCCCGTATGGGGCCACATAGCCAGTCATGGCAGTGGAAGAAGGAAGGAAGGAAGGTGTGGTTGTAGTTGTGACCAAGAGTACTTCATGCAGTACATGTACATGAGAGACAAAGTGTACAGCGCTATAACTTCTCACTAAGCTGATACAATCTACAAGTAGGAATTTCACCCTCACAATAATCCACTCCGGCTGTACTCTCTCGTTTTCATGTACTGTTGGTGTGTGACAATACAACTCTTTTTTCTTTTCTTTTTTTTTACCGCGGTATGATCCTTTTTTCATTGCTTGCTCCGTAACGTGACGTGATCTGATCCATGAGTAAATCATTTCTTCAGATGTGGGCATAGCATATTATTCATCAAGTTGATGAATGATGTGATGTAATCGGAACTGGTCCAGGGCGCCGCCAGCTTTGTACTTCGGGTCAAATTTTACCTAGCACTATTCTTGGTGTGCAGAAACTGGGCGGTAATTAATTAACACGCACACCTGGCAAGCTTCTTTTACCGTAGCTATGAACTTATTTGTATGTGTGTTTTGTGTGTGTGTGTGTGCACGCGCGCACGCCTGCTTGTGCATGTTGTGCATGCCTGTGTTTGTGTTTCTGTGCATATTTCAGGTTTCTGAATGAGGCAATGTCACTCTTGTCGTGCACAATAGAGGGGCGTGCTGGAAATCAGGCAAGTGTCATGCTTCTATTAAAAGCGGATATCAATAAATCACTCTGTATTTACTAGACTAGGCATAACATTATGGATGGGAAGAACTCCCGTTATTGCGAACAAATACCATTGGTCTCTTGGTGTTCGTCCAGAAGAGGTTTCACTGTACAGTAGAACATGTAACTAAAGATCACCGTGACTAGCAACCAGCCTGGTACTGAAGACCACCGTGACTAGCAACCGGCCTGGTACTAAAGACCACCGTGACTAGCAACCAGCCTGGTACTAAAGACCACCGTGACTAGCAACCAGCCTGGTACTAAAGACCACCGTGACTAGCAACCAGCCTGGTACTAAAGACCACCGTGACTAGCAACCAGCCTGGTACTAAAGACCACCGTGACTAGCAACCAGCCTGGTACTAAAGACCACCGTGACTAGCAACCAGCCTGGTACTAAAGACCACCGTGACTAGCAACCAGCCTGGTACTAAAGACCACCGTGACTAGCAACCAGCCTGGTACTAAAGACCACCGTGACTAGCAACCAGCCTGGTACTAAGACCACCGTGACTAGCAACCAGCCTGGTACTAAAGACCACCGTGACTAGCAACCAGCCTGGTACTAAAGACCACCGTGACTAGCAACCAGCCTGGTACTAAAGACCACCGTGACTAGCAACCAGCCTGGTACTAAAGACCACCGTGACTAGCAACCAGCCTGGTACTAAAGACCACCGTGACTAGCAACCAGCCTGGTACTAAAGACCACCGTGACTAGCAACCAGCCTGGTACTAAAGACCACTGTGACTAGCAACCAGCCTGGTACTAAAGACCACCGTGACTAGCAACCAGCCTGGTACTAAAGACCACCGTGACTAGCAACCAGCCTGGTACTAAAGACCACCGTGACTAGCAACCAGCCTGGTATTAAGGGCAACCGTGACTAGCAACCAGCCTGGTATTAAAGACCACCGTGACTAGCAACCAGCCTGGTACTAAAGACCACTTCGCCAGGCACGGACGATCTCACATTCATATTATTATTATGGCTGTGCGGTGCAAGCCTCTAACTAAGGACCACCTGCCACTATAGACCGCTTTCTCTGGCCCCAAGGGGTGGTCGTTAGTCACAGGTTTCACTGTACACTCTTTGTGGATACAGACTTGATTGACAATAACATAGTTCTTCTGTGTGTGTGTGTGTGTGTGTGTGTGTGTGTGTGTGTGTGTGTGTGTGTGTGTGTGTGTGTGTGTGTGTGTGTGTGTGTGTGTGTGTGTGTGTGTGTGTGTGTGTGTGTGTGTGTGTGTGTGTGTGTGTGTGTGTGTGTGTGTGTGTGTGTGTGTGTGTGTGTGTGTGTGTGTGTGTGTGTGTGTGTGTGTGTGTGTGTGTGTGTGTGTGTGTGTGTGTGTGTGTGTGTGTGTGTGTGTGTGTGTGTGTGTGTGTGTGTGTGTGTGTGTGTGTGTGTGTGTGTGTGTGTGTGTGTGTGTGTGTGTGTGTGTGTGTGTGTGTGTGTGTGTGTGTGTGTGTGTGTGTGTGTGTGTGTGTGTGTGTGTGTGTGTGTGTGTGTTGGTTGGTTGGTTGGTTGGTTGGTTGGTTTTGACTGTATGTTTGTGCCTGGCTCTTCAGATCCAGACAATCACACGCATTGCTTTGGAGAACATCAGCCCGTCCGCTATTCCAAAGTGTTTGAATTTGGTGGAGCAGCGTCTTACCGAGATTCTGGAGCAGGTACATGTACTATGCATGCATCTTTTCTGCCTCTTCTGGTTTAAGGAAGTGCTGTTGTGATGTGTATATACTGCATCAGGAGTGTCTGCCAGCTTCACCTATTCAATCATGCCAGTACTTCGAAGTATGTGTACACTGTATACATAATTCTGTTTTGTCTTCGGAGTGGCACTGGCGCTCCTCTGACTTTCTTTTATTTGAAAGTCTCTTTATCAGAGAACACACTCTATCTGTTCCAACATTCTGTGTTTTTGTTGTGTGTTTGTGTGTGTTCCTAGGTTGCTACTACCGGTGTTACTATAGAGAGTACACTGTTCGTTGAGCAGGTAAAGGCCAGTGATGTACATGTGGGAGCACGCACAAGAACTTCTGGTACAATGGAGTATTTATTTGCTCTTTGTAGTCTTTCACCAAGCTCATTGGTTGTCTGCCAATCTTTCTTTGATGTCTGCATCAGTGTCAAGTGTCGTTTTGTCTCTTTTCAGGAATCAACTTGAATGGGCTGAATAGAGAGAGAGAGAGAGAGAGAGAGAGAGAGAGAGAGAGAGAGAGAGAGAGAGAGAGAGAGAGGGAGGGGGGGGGGTGATCAAACTTGACAAGTACTTAAAAATGTAGTACATACCGTAAAGTACCGCCAGAGCGCCCCACCTTGATTTTACAGCCAGGGAAAGGAAAATCGTATGGCAGAGTGCAACGAAGTTTGTACGATGTGAGAACCTTAGTGTACTAAGGGCACACTTGCCAGGTTTTTGTGTGGAGCTTGTGTCCGCTCGAAGGTACGGATTGACTGCAAAATGTGGAATATGTGTACAAGGTTCATGTCGTATGACCTACAGACAGCAGACCACCTCCACAATACGACCACGAAAGGACGAGATGGTGGGGCGCTCTGGCGGTACTTTACGGTACTTGAATATCAGTACATGTGCACGGACCGTGTCGTATCAAGGGTGTTTCTAATTCTATCTCTCTGTACAGGTGACATCACTGCTGAAGCCAATGTTTGAAACAGTGGTTCATGGCCAGAACAAGTACATGAGTTTTGTCAATGTGGAGACTATTGTGCTTCACCTATCAAAGTAAGTGTTTTTGGAACTTGAGCCAGGGATTTCCCCACCTTCGTGACTACAGAGCCTGTACTCGTACCCACACTGCTCTCCACTAGATCATGTACAATGAGGCAGCCTTGCCTGTACACTAACCCTGAGCGTGCGTGTTTTGATTGTGTTGCTTGCATGCCTTTTGTGTGCTGTAGGTACATAGCTGAACTGAGTGTCCCCAACGTGACACTGCAAATACATCTGTGCAGAGCAATACAGACGGTAAGCTGCAGCTCGGGCTTCAACGCCTACTGGAGCATTGCCATGGACTGACTTGCTACACAGTCTACCTTGATCAGACATGTGATCATGTCATATCACTACGAACAAATAATAACCTCATTCAACTCTAGCCATCCCGTACACTTCCATTGGCCTGCATGCAGTTAGTGCCTGGCTGATCTCGGTGATCTGCTGTACATATCTTGCCACACCGGAGACCCAAAGCACTCAAAGCCTTACCGAGGCGAAATCTGAACTACTTTTGCAATTATGCTTATCTGCACACTCACAGTACGTAAAATAACCTCTGTATCATTGGTCATGCCTATTCTCTGCAGATGATGTCATGTCGCTCTGAGCTTTTCTTCCGGAGAGAGCATTACTTCTGCAATTGCCTGGGCAACTGCCTCATCCGCTGGCTTGGTCGCTATGAAGACGTCTTGGGATCAACGTCACGAGATGACAGGTTCGTAAGAGTTCACGTGGAAAGTCGTTCCCCTTGTTGTGGTGGCCAGTGTTACCACTGCATGCTTCTCTGCTCAGTACTGTCTGTTGGGTGTGTGTGATGGCTAGTGTTGCCACTACATACTGCTCTGTTCAGTACTGTCTGTTGTGTGTGATGGCCAGTGTTGCTCGTTAGGTTTTGTGCCATTCTTACAACCAGGAAATACAGTGAAGCCTGTCTTAGACGATTGCTCAAGGGGCCTTCAAAATGTGGTCCCTGCGTACAGATGGTCTCCTTATCCAGGGCCATTTGACTGGCGATAATTTCTCTCGGTCCTACACGTAGCTGTAGCGGTCCTCTAGGACAGGTGGTCACCTGATCAGAGTGGTTGCCTTGACAGGTTTTACTGTAGGGTGTTTCACCGTCCAAAAGGTTGCTACTCTATGCCCTGGGGTCACAGCGTATTCACACAGTTCATACAGCTACAGCAAGGAGGGAGAACGTTCCTTTTGCAACTCCTAGTGTACATCCTCCACTTGTGATTGCTTTGTCTGCCTCGCGGCTGCTTCCATGTACTGTAAAACGACAAACTTTCGCGGTGGCTAAATTTAGCGTTTTGGCAAACTGGACCAGTTGGCGGCGATTCATTTTAGCGATTTTTACCTTCCACCGAAAATCAAAGAAGTTTATTTTACGAAGCCTCGGAGTGCATGGGCGCAGAGTGCATGAAGAATGAGAGAAGAAATGAAAGAATGAAAGAAGGAATCAAGGAATGTAACAAGGAATCAAGGCATCAAAGAGAACCATAAGGTAAGTACTAGTACTGGGAGAAAGGATGGCACGTTCGAAGAGGGATCATCGGAAGACTTTCTCTTCGAACTGCTGAGCCACTGCGATACTCATCGCGATAAAATTCAGGCGACTTCTTCGAGCAGTACAACACTAAAATCTACGCAACAGCAAGCTGGCCAAACGCTCCAATAAGTTCAACAACACTCTCCACAACACTGAGACATTCTCCAGTCGATTGTTTTATTCTCTTCTGGTTCAAGTCGCCGTACTCCAACGACAACTAATGTTTATTACTTGCAAGACTGGTGTTGGTACGTAACCCGTCGTTGCAACAGCTGCGCGCTTTGGTTGGACATAGCCGGCCGTGCAAGCATCGATCAGCGCTGTGAATGTACGTACAGTCAGTGCAGTGAGTGATGCATGCGAATGTACTGTACAGATCTGTTGCAAAACGATCGATCATCGACGCATCGCGTAGTACGTACTTCAAGTAATACTAGTAGTACAAATTTCATATTCGCGTGTCAAACTTTCGCGATTCGACCCTGCTTGCGAAAGTCGCGAAAGTTTGTCGTTTTACAGTACTGTACTGCAAGTCAAGAATATTTCGTACGTGAAATGTCGTACGTTTCACCCCAAACTAGTTATATGCCAATATCGTTCTATATACGAACTATCTACCGTGCCGTTTGTAACTTTGTACATTAAAACAAAATAGGCTTAGTACGCATTTTAATTTCGTACACAGCCTAGACACCAGATTAAACCTATTTTTTCTGGTGGTTTGTCTCATTTTTCAGGGATCTCTTGATGGTGTGTGTGGCAGCCCTGGGCCAGTTGTTTGCTGATCTGGTCGTTGATGAGACTGTTGTGGATGAGCCAGCTCAATTGGTATACAATCGGTGAGTGTTGATTGGTGCTGCCATGCTACATGCTAGTGTATATTAAGTGGAGCAGGACGGTGTTTAAACTCAAACTCTAAGTTGCCTTGATGCGATCTCTCAGACCAAGAGTACATAACCCCCAGAGTGTGCAACGCCTGATCCAGCTCTGCATAGGGTCTTGGTCGAGCGGAATCGGATCTTTGCGTCATAATACCGTACACATCTGAGGGGAACCCGGGGAGTCGCGGGTACTCTTGGATCAAAAACAATGGTGCCCTGCCTCGAGACCGGCCTTGCGCTGGTGTGAAGTGTACGCATGACATCAGAAGATCCGATTCCGCTCGACCAAGACCCTACACAGAGCTGGATCGGCGTTGCACACTCTGGGGGGTTATGTACTCTTGCTCAGACATTATATCTACGAGGACATGCCACCTCGAACCTCGATTGTGTCGCATGTCGATTCAGGCATCTTCGTCGTAATGCCCTCCTTGTTGATGTCAATGGTGCCAATTCTTGCACGGATCCTCGTTATCCGAGCTGGTACCACTTGCAGTTGCAGTGCCTTAGTTGAAGTTCGGACCGAAGGCTAGACTCTGGCTAGGCTGACTAGGCTTAATCCGCAAGGTACAGGGTTTCTTCCTAGTCAGCAATGTCTGTAGACCGTGCTGCACGCCATTGGCCGCTTTTCTTTTTTCTTCTTAAAAAAAAAAAGGGTTACCATGCATGTGTTGTGCGCGCTCGTGCCTGTGGATGTTTGTGTGCTGATGTGTTTGTGTGCATGTGTGTGGGTGGATGTGGGTGGATGTGGGTGTGGGTGCATGTGTGGGTGTGTGGGGGTACATGCACATGTGTTGTGTTGTTTAGTTACTGGGACACAATCGAGAAGATCATTGCCCAGTGCACGGTGTGGGCGTTTGGCCCCAGCGACGAGGAGGATAGCTACTACACATCATCAACCACGCAGCTGATTCACCCTCGCAGATCCATTGCATCGAGCAGTGACCTGACTTCACTGCACCAATTCAAAGGCAGGAACCATGGCGGCCTCTTCTCAGCTTCGCTGCAAGGACCTCAGTTTGCTGCCGATCTATTGCTGTTGGCGCAGGCTGCCATGTCTAACTTGCTATGCGCAGACACTAAATGCTCGCTGGTTCGAGGCCGTGGAGGTGAGGGTCCTGTCACTCCAGTGTGCCTGTACCGTTGAAGTCACTTGGGTCTCCCCAGGGAAAGAGGAGAGAGATACTGAAGTGGTCTTTGAAAGAAAACTCCATAGGACCTATTATCTTCCCGTCATTTGCTTTTGTGGGGCAAGTCCACTTCAGTTGTGCACATTATGAGACCAGCCATGCATAAAAGGTCATGCGTTTGCAGCCGACTTTATGTACATGTTTCACACTCACACACTCACACACGCACACCCACACACACACACACACGCACACACACACATGTGCATACATGCCTGTATATTCACATGCGGTCATTCTGGCTTTGCTTGCCTTGCCCGTTATTTTCTTCTGGCTTTCCCAGACCGTGGTCGAAGTGCATCGGATGCATTCAGTCGTGTCATCAGTAAGTGAACCATCAGTGTATTTGCTCTCTTTGTTGATCAGATCATTATCTATTCCACCTGGTTACTGCAAAGTCCTCGTGTATTGATACTGTCTACTCTCAATAAGACGCGTACCCAATCTTGAAGACAAATATGCATGACTTATAGCCTAGTTCACATTCGACGCAACGCCGACGGTACGGGACGTAAGGGCTTGTCGGGAGGGCTGGGGTGAGCTGTAAAATCCTGTACGATTCGTACGACACGACATGCGGCAGTCATTGCGACGTTCAACGTCGAACGGCGCGAGTCATAAGGCACGGTCCGTGACGGGGTGACTTTCAGACCTAATTTCTCGTTTTTCGGGACTTCTTTTCAATTATTTCTCCTTGAAAGAAGCGGAATCAAGTTCACAATACCAGTTTTTCATGAAGATCAAAAAAATTAGCCCTGAAAGTTGTGGCATTCAAATAATAGCCCCAGGAAATGATAGAATAGTTCGTTTGTCACACTTCTGAACTATCCCTAAATACTATAAGTGACATGAGATCTTATGTTGCTAAAATTCAACTCAAGTCGTGCTAGCCATTCTGTGAGTTATCATGGGAAGCGCAGTGTTCGAAATGCTAAAATTTTTTTAAGGATGAATCGGGAGTAGTCGGCGCACGACGCCGTCTCCTGTTCACACTCGAATTGCAGCCGTTTTGTACGCTTGCGTCCCCGTCTACGCCCGTCTACGGTATGAAAAGTTGGATCGATCCAACTCTTCCCGTCGCTTCCCGATCTGTACGGTAGTACGGTTGCGTTCCCGTTCCTGGTGTTCACATTGGACGCTGTCAGACCGTCCCGTCGCTTCCCGTCGATCCTTACGTCGCGTCCCGTCGCGCCCCGCCGAATGGGAACTAGGCGGGTATCACGGGTGTGTGGCTTACATAATAGCGCGTATGTGCTAGTATACGAAAGTACATGCCCCCGTCCGAATTGCAGAAGTGTGCAACTTAAAGTACGTGACTTATTGCGGGTAGACTGTACAGTTTGTCTCATAGCCACTGCTTGCCTGTTAGATTGGTTTGTGTTTTGAATTTTTGATTCCTTTCACCGTCTTAAGTTGTGGCTGCTTTGTGTTTCATGTTGCTCAGCAAGCATCTCTACTCGTGTCCCATGCGTCTCTGAGTTTCGCGAGAAAAGTCGGTGCACTGTGCTTTGTTCTTGCAGCTGATTTGTGCGTACACATATGTGTTTGTGTGTGTGTGTGTGTGTGTGTGTGTGTGTGCTCGTGTGTATGTGTGCGTGTGTGTGCGTGTGTGTGCGTGTGTGTGTGTTGCTGTTTTACAGAGTACTGTGACTTCTGTCATGTGAAATGTCGTGCCTATTTCATGGAGAACATGACAGCCATTCTCAGACAGGTACGACAGTAGTATAGAACTGAAGAATGCAGCATAGTGAAAATGTAAACCTGGGTCAAATTCTACGAATACAGTCAACTTCGCTAATAACGACTGCGGACATAACGACAATTCGCGAATAGTGACAGAATTTCCATGCTCAGAGCAAAGTCCCATCTAACTGTAATACATAATTATAATGAGACTTCGGGTATAAGGACACTTCGCAAATAAGGACACTTTTCTGATGCCCTGCCGAGTGTCGTTATTCGCAAAGCTGACTGTAGCTCTCTTTTCGAAATGAATGCATCGTACGTCTGAAAAAAATCTTCAGTAATTTTTGGACTGTCACGGCTGCTGCGGTCAGCTTGATAAATGGCCAGAAAGATAGACTGTATTCATGTGTAAATACATCTGGATGTAGCCAAACACTTCTTTTCATGGTTGTTTGTTCCCAACAGGGTAGCTATTTCAAGGAGCCGGAGAATATGGCAACAATGCACCTGAACAATCTCTGTAGCATCATTGTCAGCAAGAACAAATCTGGTCGCTACCCGATCGCCGATGTTCTAATGAAGGTCACCAGCAATATGGACCAGGTACAGTCTACTGTCCACATCAGACTGCTGCTGCTGCTGCTGCTGCTGCTTTTTCTGTGACATCATCTTTGCTGGCTACTGAATGTCTCTTTTGCGCTGCTTTGTGTGGCAAGGTTTGATATTCAGCATTCTTGCACTGGTTCTACATGTATGTACACTGTGGGGTTGGCAAGTGCACCAGTTTGTGCCATGTTGGAGTCAGTAGCTTTCACAGAACAGCTAAATGAACGCATTACTGGCGCTGGGCTCTCGCAGGTCAAAGGCACCTCACTGTTGTGTGGTGTCGTGTATGTATAGCCCGATGCATTATGGCATGATGCCGTGGGTATTCCCATCTGCGGTAGAAACCCAGATACAGTGTATCTACCGCAGAAATCCGAACGACGAGTCAAAAGTAGCACCCCGTTTTCATTTCATTACATCATCCCACGTTCCCAAAAACCGATCCAGGGGCCGCATGAGCCGTGGCGCTGCTTTCCGCACGTGGGTTGGATTTCTTTGGCCACGATTGTACTACAAGGGGACACACACATCTGATTAGGGGTTTCTTGTTTGTACAGTAACTTTTATGCATAACGTCCCATGTTTCTCGCCATGTGGAAGTTCCACATGCATACCATTATGACCTACATGTACATGTATGCTGCTGTGTATCTGTGCCGGTGTGTTTGAATTGGTGTTGTTTAGGATGAACTGTGCACTGTCTTGGCCAGACTATTCTACTCCAGAGGATTGCTCTATGACCTAGTGGAGACCTTCTTCATGAAGGAGGTAAGCATGATGATGGAGTGCATAGACACTGCCGGCTGCATCTCACTTCGCCTTTTGAGAAGCATGCGTGACGTCCAGCGCAAAGCCCGAGTCCTCTGCTGTCTGTTGTGAAGCGTTCGCAATGTTCTTTCCCCAGCTCTCTGCCACGTGATTTATCGTTGTATACTGTGCATTTCTTTTGCCGTGTGTAGCTGCAGAAAGTGGTCACGCCAAGCGCCTTGTTCCGGTCGGCAACGCATGCCACGCGTATGGTCAGTTCGGCAATGAAGCACTTTGGACGAGCATATGCCAAGATGATTCTCACCCCCATTCTCGAAAAGGAGCTGGAGACCTTCACCGCTGCCGAGAAGTTCTCGTACGAAATCGACCCCAACAAGTAAGCTGAATCCGAGCCGTTCCAGTGCGAATGACCGGACAAGTGTGTTGTATGTGACTGTGTGTGGTTCTCTTCAGACTTATCACACCTGTTGTCTCCTGTAGGAGAACAGTGCTCAACCATGAAGTTTAGTTATGTAAGCAGGACAGCTGTGGTAACCAGCGCCATTCATTCTGCATTTGTCCTCCTCTCTTTCTTTCTTTACAGATTGCGCAATGACGATGATCATGTGATGCTGGAGAAGAATCGTGCCAACGTGCTGTCGCTGACCAAGAAAATCTTTGACGCAGTCACCTCATCGTTGCATAGCCGGTAAGAGTTATCCGTCCAGTGCTGGCTGGTGGGGATGCTTGCGTCCAGATTTGACAACATAGTAGTTGCCCAGTGTCTTCAGCATAGTAGTCTTATAAGTCTGATGGAATTTCTGAAATGCGTTGCATTTTCAAGGTGCTTTTCTCCAACTGGGTTGAAAAATGGAGAAGCAGTTGAGAGGGGAAGGGAATGTGTTGAACAGGCTGCATATCGGGCCACACATGTTCTTCATTGTTGTGTTTCTGTTTGTATCTGCTTTTTCTTCTTCTCTGTGTAGGAAATTTCCCAAACAGCTAGTCACAATTTGTCATTGTTTGCTCAAGGTATGTTGATGTGATTCTTGACTCAGCCGCATGGTTCGTATTGGGCTTTAGTTGTAGTTCACAGTGCAGTTACTCCTGCTCACATGGTCAATTGTCGATTGTCTGGTCCTTATCCACTCACTAAGTGTTTTTTCATCTCTCTCACACTCAGGCGCGTACGCAGGGGGGGTTTCCCGTTGCCCGGAAACCCCCCAAATTTTCCAAACGAGCAACGTTTTTGGGCATTTATTGGTAGGGCGCATGATCGATCTGGCAAGAATGCAAAACTTCAAAAGATCGTAACTCAGTGAAATCTCGCTCAAATCCAACGATCCAAATATCCAGGTCGAATAGAAAACTCTCAGCTGTCGGTTGAAACAATTTGTGAAGCGCTGCGAGCAATGTATCGTGAGATAAATCATTCGTAAATTGAGCCGCGATCTCGGCAATTTCAAAAGCGCGCAGTGCGACTTGAGTATCGAGAATTTGAGATTTTCGTCGCGCTGATTTGCTCAAATTTGCAGGGGCTTCCCTTGTGATATTTTCAAGAGTACACAGGAAAAAGTCGAAACTCTGCGATCAAGAAAAACGAAATCGCTGGAGCAGGACGCGTTTGGGCCTGTTTGGGGCATTTTTCCCACCGTCGCTG